TTTGTTGAAATTTGTATGAAATATATTTTATGGAATTATATAATTAAATTATGTATATATATATATATATTCTAATTATTTAAATGAAATCAATTATAAATTTTCAAAATGTGCAGTTGCAAAATAAAAACTTTATAATAATGAGTTAAAAAGCTTTTAACTCATTTTAATTTCTTTAAACAAATTCAATATTTGATATTATAAATTCGAATAACGTAATGTATAAAAATCATAAAATTCGAATAATGTAATGTATAAAAGGAGATTTGTTTGAGACATTATATCTTTCATAACAACAATTTTCAGTAAATTTCAATAAAATAATTTAAGATGAACTTCTAAAATCCTTTTTTGAAAAAGATAAGAAAAAGAATAAAAGATAGAAGAAAAAAAGAGAATAAAAGAACAGTAAATAGTAGGATCGAACGAAATTCAAAGAATATTTTTTAATCATTTTCAGTTTCAACATGAGAGCCTTTTATTTTTGCTAAACAATTATTATAATGATATAATGTTAAATAAAATCAAACTTATATCAATACAATTACTTTAATTATTAATAATTAACAAACATAAAATGGTGTAAATATTTAATTAATGCTCCTTTTTTGCATCACAGTCTCATTGATTGCATCATAATGTAATTCCACAATCTTTCTTTGGTTATTTAAGTGTCCTTCGGTTTTTATTATGTCTGTGTGAATAGTTTAAAACAATAGAAATTTTTCTAATAAATCTCTTTTATTCGTATTTAAGCATTAAATATATTACTTGAAGTATTCTAAATAATTTTATAAAAAACTCAATCCTCTATAGAAATTTTGTATTACATACTTTAACACATCAATTGTTCATTTTATAAGAACATTTTATTTAATTTCAATAAATATTTTCTTGAGAAAACCAGAAAAAAATAAATATCATTTGTTCTCAACTCTGCAAAATAAGACATCTTTTAAAATTAAATTATGTTTTTCATCTAAGATTTTGATAACTTACAACAGTCCAGATTAACCGTTTCAAAAGTAAGGGGAAACTGAATTGGAAATAAATAAATGCATTTGCTGAACTCAGAATTTTAAAAAGAAAAATGTAATTTATATTTTAAAATTATTGGATAAAGAAAAAAAATTGTATCAAAAATATTAGAGTGCCATAAATTTAGTCTATTCTTACATAATATAACAGTTTTTTTTAAATTATATTTTATGCAATTTAAATTAGTTTGTATAAAATATTAAGAAATTGCATAATACTTAATGGACTTTTGTAAAATATAAATATAATTGTAAAATCTTTTAAATTTAAGCCTTTTAAATATCTTTTTCAGGATTATTTTATGTTGATAACTTTTGTTATACTTTTAATGTGAAATTTATATTTTTTATTATACTGTTGACATAGTTTTTGGTATAGTTATCATATCTTAAGATATTTCCAACGTTACATTATATTTTATAAAAATAATTTTTTTCACTTTCTGAAATTTCCTCTTTGTCATGATGTGTTTAGATAAATTGCTTTTATACTATTTTTTTCTACATTAGAATTCAAAGATCATATATAATAAATGTTTTTTTTTCCACTACCAATTTTTTTTTGTAAGCAAACTAATTTATTTCGGACTATTGTACTTAAAAACTTTTGTACTTTTTGTCAAAAGCAAGGTAAATAATACTTTGATTTTTTTAAACTTTATTCCTTTGAATTACTTTTAAATATCTCTTTGATGATTAAATGTAAAATTTTTCAGTAAATGTTTTTTATGTACAAAAATTAAAACATATGCACATAAAAGAATGTTTTGTGTTATTGTTTCATAATCGAATTCCTGTAAAATCAAATTTTAAAATTTCTATCATAAAACATTTTTATTTATAATTAAACTTGTATTGTTTGATAGCAGTTTCAATTATTGTATGTAGTAGGCAATCTTTAAAGAAAAAAAGGTGCAATAAATATAGATATTAAAAACACTTTTAAATAAAAAAAATATATACTTCTCAATAGGAAAATAATAGATATGAAATTATATTTTAAATTAAAAAATTAAACTTTTAAAGATAAAAATAATAGATATGAAATTATACTGTTAATTAACAAAAAATTTTAATGTGTAAATAATATGAACATATACTTTTAATTAAAAAATATATACTTCTGAATATGAAAATATACTTTTAATTAAAAAAATATACTTTTGAATATGAAAATATTAGATATGAAAATATACTTTTAATTAAAAAATATACTTTTGAATAAGAAAATAATGGAGATGAAAATGTACATTTAATTAAAAAATACACTTTTAAATATGAAAATAATATATATAAAAATATACTTTTTAGTACGAAATTAAAATTGCTGTAACAAATTGAAAAAACATTTTAAAAGAAATTTTTTAAATGTAGTAAATTTCAATAAATGGAAACAATCAAAATTCTAAATCTTGATTCGTTTAAATTGCAAAATCATAGAAATGAAAATAAATGTCAGTTACAGTTAAATCAAACGACGCGAATAAAAAGTAGAATATTTCAAATCCAAACATTCCATTTCTACAAAATGAGCATTTAAATGATGCCAACAGCAAAAAAGAAAATAAAAATATCAAAGATAATAAAACTTTTTTTACTTGACGTGATAAAAGAAAAACAAAATGTTTTCCTTCTAAAAACAAAATACAAAAAATAAAAGAAGAAGAAGAAAAAAAAAAAATGGCGCAGAAAATGAGACTGTCGACTGATGCATTAAAAACTTTTTTTCCTCTAAGCTGCGTAAACTAACACGTTATTTAGATTGAAGCAGATTGCAGACGCGACGCTGAAAGTCGGTAGGAAAATAGCTTTTCAAAATGATAGAACAACTATGTCTCTGTATCTCAAGAAAATGTGGACATAGACGGATGGTTCATTTAATTTAAAAGAAACGATAAGCATTTTCGTGGGAAACTTGTCGGGATAGTTCACATTTTTTCAATAAAAAAGTGGCACGGAAATAACAATAAAAAGCCATGATAATAACTGTAAAAGAAGGAAGGAAAACAATGCCGCCATTTTACTTTTTTGCTTCAGGAAGAAAGCACCCGTATTTGGCGGTGTGATGAATTTCGAAATACTTAGATTGAATTTGCTTTCTTCCCAAAGTAAACAAAAGTTTTTCATACTTTTTTCTTCCTTAAGTGATGCTGGTAGATAGGTTTTTTTTTTTTTATTCTATTTATTCCCTCTTTATTTTTTGTAGATCTGGTCATTTGTCTTGGTAAGAGAATAAACGTTGGTGATAATTCGATTCACTTGTATGGGTTCTGTAAATATATGGAGTGAAGCTTTTACGTTCTGTTTTCTTAGATTAATATTTATTTCCGTAAAAAAAGTGTTCTTCTGGAATGCTTTGATTATTTCCAGAAAGAGTTTTATGGACTTTTTTTTTTTTATTCTAAATTTTTTTAATTCCTCTAAAAATTGTTTCGTATTTAATTGAATTACTATTTATGTGAATGGTTTGATTTTTAAAAATAATATTTAGGTTTAAAATTGTAAGTTAATTTAACCTTTTTTTAAGAATTAATTTAGAAGGGGTGCATTTGTAAGATAGGTTTGTATAATCTAAATCTACATAAGCCCTTTTATTTATTTTGACAATAGAAGGATCAGGATAATTTTTTTTGTAATTTTCAAACTGTTTACTTTATTAAAAAATGCATGAAATAATGTAACTGCCAAACCGCAAAATAGGAGCTGTTGAGATTTGGGATTTCATTAATTTGTCTTATTTATATTTATTAAACGGTTTTATGGAGACACCGTTTAATGTAATGATCACGGTTCCAACCTATTTACAAATTAAATTCCAATTTAAGTGGTTAACATAATTTGATTCACTTAATGGTTTAATTAGATCCACTTAATGATTACTCCATGATCCACTTAAATTGATGACTTTTTATGATAAATAAAAACAACCATAGTCTATTTTGTGTTCAAAGCTCTTTAACAAAATCGACAACTTCTCTATAAGATTCATTTTGTTTTGTTCTTTTCTTTTTGTCTATTATATAGAAAACTTGATGCAATCTTAATCAATCATTTTATATTTATTAGTCATCGTATTCAATGGGCAAGATTTGTAATGAATGTACAACAATCCATTATTGTAGATATTTTTTTATTTCATCAAGACGGTTCTCATTCTTTTACAATGCATGACACTTTGTTTCCTATATAATACTTTAAATGAAAATTAAAATATTTAAACATATCAGGATGCAACTGAAAGAACCTTTTTCAATTTTCCAAATAATTTATGTGTGAATTTTTTTTCAATTTAGATGAATAATTTTTGTCACTTAAATTCAGTTTTAACTAAAAATTTATACAGTTCTTTTATTGGTTATAATACATTGATCAGTAAAGTATTACAAAATATGTATTTGTTCCTCCCCATATATATGTTCAGAATATAAACTTGTTTAATACGATAATAGTGTCCATCCATGTGAAATTTTACCTTTGTTTTAAGTTTTATTACTTCTGCAATGACGCAGCAGCCTCATGGTGAAGACTGGCAAATTTCGAGACATGAGATGTAATTTTTTATTACAGAGTATAATATTGCCCTAGGGTGGTTTATATCCAAAAACATCTTTAACGTGTAGTCTACTCTCGATATACTATTGTAGTGGCAAAAACAGCATCTTTCTTTAAAAGGATGTGTATGGAAATTTAACAGCTGTTGGCAGTTAGTCATAAATAAAACTTAATACAAAAAGCTAGGCTCAACTTTCAACAATTCAGTTACATGATACTTTTTAATGTTGTTGATCTGAAATGCCAAAAATAACTGTAATGCCGGAAACTTGTTTATTCACCAAAACCGTTAATAGAATTTCTCGTGATAAATTATTTTGTTCTTGAATGAATTATAATGAAATGAAGTAAAATCTATAAAATAATTAAGGGAAACTGTTGTAATAATGGAAAATTAAAAACATATATCCAATGGCCATACCATGCTGAATATACCGGTTCTCGTTAGATCACCGAAGTCAAGCATCATTGGGCGTGGTCAGTACTTGGGTGGGTGACCACCTGGGAACACCGCTTGCCATTGGCATTCAAAAATTTGGGGCCTGAATGGCCGAGTGTCTAGCGCTCGGTGCCACAGGTTTCGGGTTCGAATCCCGGCGGTGCTATGGATGTTTGTAGTGGTTCGGAATCCACTTTAAGCCGTAGGTCCCAGTCTTCTATGACTGTAAGAGCGTCACGGAGCCAAAGTCAGACTTCTACCTACGGGTGCCCCATCACAACAGAAGCTGCTTCCTTCCCCTTCAATCATGAGTACGTATGGGCTCGTGGGCTTGGCCAGCAATTGGGATAAGAAACAACAACAACAAAAAACAAAAAAATATATAGAGTCAGACTTGTTTTTGTGGAGGGAATAGAGACCTCATAAATCACATAAAAAAATATCTTGAAACTTCATAAGTAGCTATAAAATATATCATTTGCAACACATTTAAAAAGTATTGTTTTCATGACCAAAATCCCACATAGAAAATATGGAAATCAAAACCTCTCTTATATAGCACTGCCTCACATCTAATGATATTCGTGGTAATGGAATGATATACACTGAAGTGACAAAAGTCATGGGATAGCAATATGCAAATTTTCAGATGGCAGTAGCATCACGTAGAACAGGTATAAATGCGCAGTGCTTTTTCAGAGCTTTCATTTCTGTTCAAGTTATTCATGTGAAGAGGTTTTGACGTGATGAAAACCGCACAAAACGGACCGCATAAAAAACAGACTTTGAACGCGGAATGTTAGTTAGAGCTAGAAATGGGGTCGTGCCATTTCGGAAATCGTTAGAATTCAACATTCCCAGATCCATTGTGTCAAAGAATGTGCCGAAAAAGTATGAAATTTCAGGCATAACATCCAACCATGGACAGCGCAGTGGTTTTGCCTGCACTTAACGACCGAGACCGGCGACGTCTGCAAAGAGTCGTAAATTCTAACAGACAAGCAACACTAAATATCTTTGTCAAATAACCGCAGAAATCAATGTGGGACGTACAAGGTACTTGTCTGTTAGAACTGTGCGGAGAAATTTGGCTTTCTTGGGCTATTCCAGCAGAAGACCGACTCGAGTGCCTATACTGACAGAACGACATCGCTTGCAGCGACTCTCGTGGGCACGTGAGCATATCGGTTGGTCCTTAGATGAATGGAAAACCTTGGCCTGGTCCGATGAGTCACGAAAGAGCTGATGGTAGAGTTCCAGTGTGGCGCAGACCCCACGAAGCCTTGGACCCAAACTGTCAGCAAGGCACTGTTCAAGCTTGTGGTGGCTCCGTGATGGTGTGGGCTGTTTTTTCATGGCATGGACTTGGTCCTCTGGGGCGACTGGACCGAATATTGACTGGAAATGCTTATGTTCAGCTACTTGGAGATCACTTGTAGCCATTCATGGACTTCATGTACCCAAACAACGATGGGATTTTTATGGATGACAATGCGCCATGTCACCGGGCCACAACTGTTCGCGATTGGTTTGAAGAACATTCTGGACAATTCCAACGAATGATCTGGCCACCTAGATCGCCGCCTGACATGAATCCCATCGAGCATTTATGGGACATCATCGAGAATGTCCTGTTCGTGCCCAAAATCCTGCACCATCAACGCTTTCACAATTATGGACGTCTATCGAGACAGCATGGCTCAATATTCCTGCAGAAGACTTCCAACGACTTGTTGAGTCCATGCCACGTCGAGTTGCTGCACTTCGCCGGGCGAAAGGAGGGCCGACACGATATTAAGAGGTATCCCATGACTTTTGTCACTTCAGTGTATTATCAGGTGGGTCATATGTTGTTGTTTTTTTAATTTGCATGCTTATTTGACAATCATATGTTGTTAGCTTTTTGAATCACATTTTTTAATTAATTGTCATTCGTAATATGCATTAGGTGGAATTATTTTTTATATAACACAGAGAAAAAAAAACTCGCACAAAACAGGACCGCATAAAAACAGATTTGACTTTATAGATAATTAGCATTATTCTGTAGAAATTAGTGTTATTTTCTTTCTGAAATTTCCTTTAATTCCTAACATTTGAACCAATTGCTAAAAAAGATATTTGTTTCTTTATCACATGCTCTCTTAATTGTTAAACTTTTTGTTTTATAATTTAAGAAAGCATACTTGTTGATAGAATTTTTCATATCTTTATCATTGTTTTTATGTGAATTTATCTAAATATCTTTGTCGTAAGACAGAGAAAATCAGTTTGGTTGTTAAGAGTTATATTACATGTGAAATGATAAATTTATTGTTTTTATTATCATTTTTAAAAATTCCCCCATTTAAAAATGAGATAGATATTCTATCCATGTATGTATCAAATAAATAATTTCACCTATATTTCCAAACTTTGATCTGATGATAAGAGTTAGAATTATTTTAAAACGAAGTCAACATTCAATGTAATACGTCAATTTCTATTCAATGTAATAAATACCATTAAAATTAATAAATTCCGTTAAATTTAATAAATTCCTTGAAATCACAACATATATTAAATTCTATGACATCAAAGCGTTTACAAATTCTATGAAATCAAAGTGGTTATAAATTATAATGTAATCAAAGCTTCAATCTAAATTCTATTTAAATAAGTGCATAATAACACATAAATCAAGATATCGACAAGGCTGTTACTCTAAGCAAATACAACTCCAATTAAATCCTTGCCATAGTCCATTTCTGCAAGTATTTGCCGTGAGATTACCTCCCAAGTCCAGGTTTTGTCTTGGAATTCGAAACACTATCCCGAATACGTCCTGCGAACGCAATTCCACCATGAAAAATCACCGCCTGCATTGTTCTACTAATCACATATCCGAAATTTCGGAGCTCGAAGCAATGTCCATTTAGCATGGAGTAATTCCAGAATACCTCAGCGTCCGTTCCAGGAGAGCGTTGTTTACCGTTTCGTCAACCCTTCCAAGCAATTATCATTAACTCAAAATTGAATTTTCAGGAAACGATCTATAACCATCGGTGTGTACTGGAGAGAGATTCCTCCTTTCTGTGCTGAGCTCCTTTGTTTACTTTGTAGTCTGTTCCGTTTCCATCCAATTTGTACGAATCGATTGAGTGGAGGGATAATTTTTATTCGATGAAAGGTCAGCTCGATTGCTTGATTTGATAATCTTTAATCGTTTTATCGATGATTTGTTTTTGGGGAAGATAGAGGAGAGTCTGATAATGAACTATTCATTCACAATGCAATATGTTGCTCGTTTCCGAAATAATAATTGATTAGATAGACAACAAAGCATTGAAAGCACAATTAAATATGCGTGTTAACAGTGAGTCTATAAGTTACTGAATATGATATAATTGAAATGGTTGTCTTCCCGGTTAACATTACATGTTCTATTAGCAATAGGAGCACGAGACCGCTACTTGGTGAAAAAACTATTATAAGAAAATTCTCACTCATCATATCGTAAGAAAAAGAAAAGTAGTTTTGTTGTTAAGAGTTATATTATATGTGAAATTATTCATTGATTAATTTTAATACGTTTTTAAACATTCCGCCATGAAAATGTGACAGATATTCTATGCATGTATGTATCAAATAAATAATTTCACCTTTACTTACAAATTACAAATAGATGATATGTGTTAATTTATTTTAAAACGAAGTCAACATTATGATTTTATTTTGAATAAGTTAGTAAACGTAATTCATTTTATCTCTTAAAAATTATCTTATTTTATTCAAAATTAATTAGACTAAGTTTATATTAAATTTTTAAAAAATTTGTTTTTACTGAAATTTAATTTACTTACGTTATGTTATTAAATTGACCTATTTATTGTCCTATTTACAAATTATGTATGTAGGAATATGCATGCATATATGCATAATACATTACTATATTTTATATATTAAATTCTATTCAATGTAATAAATTCCATTGAGTTAAGTAAATTCTATGAAATCAGAACATGCAGCAACTTCTATGAAATCAAAGAGTTTATAAATTCTATTTAAATACGAACATAATAATACATAAAGCAAGATATCGACAAAGCAGTTACTCTACGCAAATGTCACTCCAATTAAATACGTGCCATAGTCCATTTCTGCAATCTTTTGCAATAGGATTAACCTCCCAAGTCCAGATTTTGTCTTGGAATTCGAGACACTATCCCGTATACGTCCTGCGAACGCAGTTCCACCATGAAAAATCACCGCCCGCATTGTTCTACTAATCACATATCCGAAATTTCGGAGCTCGAAGCAATGTCTATTTACCGTGGAGTCATTGCAGAATACCTCAGCGTCCATTCCAGGAGAGTGTTATTTCCCGTTTCGTCAACCCTTCCAAGCAATTATCATTACCTCAAAATTGAATTTTCAGGAAGCGATCAATAACCATCGGTGTGTACTGGAGAGGGATTCCTCCTTTCTGTGTTGAGCTCCTTTGTTTACTTTGCAGTCTGTTCCGTTTCCATCCGATTTGTACGAATCCATTGAGAGGAGGGATAATTTTTATTCGATGAAAGGTCAGCTCGATTGCTTGATTTGATAATCTTTAATCGTTTTATCGATGATTTGTTTTTGGGAAAGACGAGAGGAGAACAGGTAATGAATTCATCATTCAAAATGCAATATGTTGCTCGTTTCCGACATAATAATTGATTAGATGGATAACGAAGCTTTGAAAACACAATTAAATTGTGTTAACAGTTACTCTATAAGTTGATAAATATTATGTAATTGACATGATTATATACATGGGAGATATTACATATTCTATTTGCAGTAGGAGCACGAAATCCTTACCGTAAGAAAATCATTATTATGAGCAACTTCTCACTGTTTGGTTATTAAGAGTTATATTACATGTTAAATGTATCAGTTATTATTTTTAACATTTTAAAAAGGTCTCTTTGAAAATATGACAGATTCTAAGAGATTATAAGAGTTAAATTCATTCTAAAAAAAAGTTAACATAAGTGATTTAATTGTGAGTAAGTTAGCAAACGTAAATCGTTTTATCTCTTAAAAATTAGTCT